CTCTCTCTCTCTCTCTCTCTCTCTCTCTCTCTCTCTCTCTCTCTCACACCCAGTCCCACCCTTTCAAAATAAAAGCCCCACAAATACAAGATTCAATCCAAGAGTATCAATCTAAAATGCAGAAAAAAGAATAGTGCTATCTCAATTGAACCTGAATGACACTACCGGTAATGTTGGCGTGTGTATATATTGCGATTTCTTCAGGCAGTAGAAGCCACACTGTCAAAATTTCCTTAGGAATTTTCTAGTGAACTATGTTGTCCTAAGTGTATAAATACCTGAAAAGAAGAATTGTTGTGTTTTCATTACCTTAGAATGAGCTTTTTATATTTACATATTTCCAGTTCAAACAGCAAACATCCATTTAATAGTTTGATTTAGAATGTAAGCAACAATAAGCTTAATGACACTTCAGAAAGCAGCCATGGCTATAGTCAGTTATTATTTTTGATGGTTTTTTGTTATAGCCTCATTTGCATTTTTCTATTTTCTTTCCACTCTGTATCAAACCTGCTCCAGGCTCAGCTGCAGCAACACTGATGTCGTCTTTGGGGGAATGAAGTTTCTATAAACCTCATATGTAAATGTCTCGGATCAGTGTTGTTTATCATCAATACCAAAAAAGCCCTCAGTATAAATATGAAGTGCAGGGGCTTTGAGTCCTCCTTAAAACATTTAATTCTGCCATGAATGTGAAAGCAGTTCATCCGCTTCGTCTCTTACACTGCTTCTGTTAGTAGTTCTGAAACGAGAGACGGAAAACGCTGCAGTAATTATCATACAAACTTACTAAAAACATACACATAAAACTGATCTTTAATGGCCTCTTTCTGTCTTCTCTCCAGACCCCCCACTCTCCATAACCCACTGCAGAAAAAGCATGGAAACACCGTAAGTAACCCCAACATGACTCACAGCACTGCTTCACTGCTACACTGCACAGAGCTGTACTGCATCTACTGCAAACCCCATGATGACACAACACACCAGTTAGGATCATACACATCAACGTATCCCGTCGATACCGAAAGAACAACTTCACATTATTGCGTCAGTGATGTCGATCCTGCATGCTCCTTGTGTTTATAGAAGAAGAACAAATCATCCGACATTAATTCTGTCCATGTTGACCCTGAAATCCATCCAACCCACCATCATAGAGGGCGCCTCAGGTCCCTCCATTGACTCTTTTCACAGCTGACATTTTGTTATATCATAACAGGAAGAGCACACGTGTGACTTATAACATTAACCAGGGCTCTAGTGAGACATGCCAGTGTGCTGGCGTGCACAGGCCGGAGCCCTGGCACTGGCACACCTAATAAAAGGAAAGTATCCATCATGATGTTACACCTGTATGAGACAAGTGAAAATGTCTCAATGTGTGTCTCAAATGTGTCTCAAAGTCTGATACATCTTCGTCCTCTGTCCCATAGAGATCTATTGTTGTCCACAAACACATCCCAGACAAACACTGTTGCACTGGGTGACATGTTCCTTCACACTGTAGTTTATTTTGACTCCGTAACACATGCACCTGCTGCCCTAACTACTCAGTAGCTCACCTGGTCCATGGCTGAAAATGTACTATTTACTCCTGTTGTAGTGACGTTTGTTGTTTATTCATCCTTTTAAAGACAGTATGTAGAATTGACGTCTTCAAGAGGAACCAGTGGGCTTGAGTCTGAGCACCACAGACAGGGTTGTGGATTCAGAATGTAATGAGAGACAGACACACGAGTTGGCTTTTATCGTGTAATTTGTTGACAATTAGATGATATAATGTATTATCGGCCTTTTCGGGTGCTTTCACACCTAACCTGTTTGGTTCGGTTAAAACAAACACAGGTCCATCTGCTCGGTTAGTAAGGTCCATTTGGGCCAGTGTGAAAGCTGTCAACGGAACGCTGGTGCGGACCAAACACCCGAACCGAGACCGACCGGAAAAGGTTGGGTCCTGGTCCACTTCCAGGTGGACTCGTGAGCGGTGCGTTTGTGGTGTGAAAGCAAACGCACCAACCACAGGATTTTATGATAGCATATTTGTGATGTAGCATGATTTGAAAAGCTAAGCTACTAATAAATCCATCTGCCATGTATATAGCCTAACCTATTTATGCAAATAATTTGCGAAACATGGTGACACGTATGAACGTCAGTTCACTGCTCTTAGTTCATGAAGTCCATTAAAAAGTATATAACAGTGATCCCTCAGTAATAAGCTCTGAGATGTTACTGTCTCTACCTGATAGTAATAATTCATAACATGTGCTCGATTTGCAGTTTAATAATACTAATAATGCTTATACTCAGTTATTTATTTATTAGCTCTCTGTGACACCAAAGCACACAAATACACACATCAGAAGCATTAAAGTGCGGCATAAACTTCTGACAGTACAGGAGTTAGATTCCCTCACGTGGGTCCTGATGATACAGGATGACCTGTCAGTCGCTATAACTATAAATGTTTACTCCTTTTGATTTGTTTGTAAAAAGTCTCCCAAAAAAAAGGAACTAAAATGCAACAAGGTATCACTATTGTCCTTGGTCTGGACCGGATTAACCCGACTACAGGTGTCAAAGCATCTTAAGTGTGTGTTAGAATGACAAAGAAACCCTCTCAAAGCCCCCGTGTCTAGACCTTAACAATGTCTGACTCTGGCAACTCCCAGTGGTAGGAAAAAACAAAAACAGTCTCAGATCAATTAGTGGAAACAGTTGATAATTGTCTGATAACATTACAAACAGCACCAGTTTTAATCCAGATTGTCTCATTTAAAATCAGAAAAAAGATTTAAGATGTCTACACATTAACCTAACACTTACATATTTACTGTTTGACTGATCTGTACAGTCCAAATACGGGGTTGCTGTGCTTGTGTGGATGCTTTGCAAAGTTTTGATGTATGACAACATGCATAGGCCAATGTTTCCCAACACCAAGCAACAGAGCGGCACCACAGCGGTGCAGCCGTCATCAGCAGTCACACGTCTCATTCCACGAAATACACATTCGCTTGATTTCTTCCTGCTCGCCCCTCTTCTACCGTCTCGTGTCTGTGGGGAAAAATGGCATTCACCTCGAGAAGACTGAGTATCAGTGGAATAGTGCTGTGGTTATGAGAATGTAGGATTTGGGCCTCAAAACCTAACCCTGCCTTTATCTCCCTCTAGTTGCTCCATGGCAGCCTTTCTCTCCGATCTTCTCTGCGACTTACTAATAATGCCTCTTCCCATTCCTCTCCTTTTTTCAACCCACTTAATAATATCAACCTGTTTCCTCTCTTTTTCTGTTGCTGTTTCAAAGATGCCTCTCATTGACGCGCTTCCTCGTAACCTCCATACTCTCCTCACTTCTTACTGTCTGATCTCCCCACCTCTACAGGAGCCCACTTAGCCTCATTCCCAGCATTGAACCCTACTGGGAGGGGCTGGACGCAGGCAGGTACAAGCCCCGACCCTCCAGTCCTCAGTGAGTGTGCCAACCGCTGTCCCCCCGTTATTGCACACAGTATACACCCCCCTTTTGCACTTTGGTTCAACCCCCCGGCTCCTCAGAGTCCTGGCCTGGCTGCATGTGTCTGGCCAAATGTACCCACAACGTCGCCAACAATACCAGTCTTGGTCTTTCATTGATGAAAAGATGAAGGAACTTCATCAACAGAAGATGTAAAAAAAAAAAAAAAAAAATCTCAGTTCAGCACTGATTATTAGGGATATAAAAGCATGCGGGACAAGATTTAAGGAGACAGGATGACAAAATCAGTTTACTAATATCTCTTAACTTAACACTCATCCCCATTCAGGACAGCAGTAGATCATGGGACATGTAATCTTTCTGGACTTCTGGACACCATACCAGTTACAAAACTTCCAATGGTCATTATAATGTATGTCATTGGCTAAGAGGATCTCACAGCTTTACATCTGGATTATTTAAAGGTCCTACATTGTAAAAAGTTAGATTTCATGTCATTTCTGCTTAAAAGCTAAAAAGATGCTTTGTCAATATTTTGAACGTATCAAAACTTTCAATCCAGGGAGCAATGCACACTGCACGTTTTCAGAAATTGTTCCTTTCAACCAGTCATCAGGACTTCTGTATGGTTGTGATGTCACAACTGTACAGTGGCTGGTAGAGGTGCTGCTAAACTCTCTCAGAAGCGCAGAAAAACACTGACCAATCAGAGCAGACTGGGCTTTTTAGGGAGAGGGGGTTTAAAGAGACAGTCGCTAAAGTGTTTTTAGACCGGTTGAATAAAGGTATATTCAGACAGACTGTATGAGAAACATAATGTGTTTTATGAACATTTAAGCATGCAAACATGTTTTAGTAGAAACCGAAAATACATATTTGAACTTTAAAATGATATGGCTCCCTCTGAAGGAATAGTTTGACACTTTGGGAAAACCCGTTCTTCTCTTTGGGGTTAAAGCTAAATCAGAATCGATACATCTCTCATGTCTGTACGCTATATGAAGCTGGGACCAGGGGTTGGTTGGCTTAGCTTAGCATAAAGACTGGAAGCAGAGGGAAACGAATGAGGTATAACATGCTAATTAGTGTACTTTTAGCCTATGCAGTGAGCCAGGCTAGCTGTTTCCCCCTGCTTCCTGTCTTAATGCTAAGCTAACGTAACCGTCCCCTTGCTCTTGCTTCGTATATACAGACATCGGAACAGCACTGACGTCTCATCAACTCTAATGCTGTCCTGCTCTGAGATCCTGTTCGTGGACTACATACAGTAAACTGGTCATTCTCTGTATGGTAATGGTTCGTTGAACCATCAATGAGAGGCAGATCATGAAATGAAATTGAAGAAAAAAGTTTTGGTAAATGACATCATGCATATATATATATATCTGCTTTTGTCTGAAAATAATATATAAATATTGAGAGGCTTTCCAGAGCAATGAAATCATTCCTGAGATGTGCGTTCAACCACAGTGCTTTGCTGTATTTGTTAAAGGAATAGTTTGACGTTATGGGAAATGCAAAGAGTGGTGCTGGTAGGCTGATTTAGTCACCAATGTAGTCTTTATGCTAAGCTAAGCTAACCAGCTGTAGCCTTATGGTAACCGTACAGATATGAGAGAATCAAACGTCTAAAAACTATTCCTTTAACATAATCCTTGTTTTCTGCATTGTTCACAGCACTCTATGCGTTGTAGCCGTTCCTACAGTCTGAGCTGTGTGTGCGATGGGTCCTTTCTCACTCCTTTGAATCCCCATTTCACCTCCGAGTGACCTGGAACACTTTCTTTTTGACACTTTGAATTGATTCACGTCACCACTATTCCTTTCTCATCCAGATGCTGTCACAGTCACTTTTTGTTTCTGCCTGTTAATCTACCTTGTTGCGTTAAATAAATGCCAAGTGTTTGAGTTGTTAATCTGCATTTTTAGCTTCTGTGTAAACTTATGAAAAACCTTGTCTGTACTCGCTATTTTATCTGATTGAATGAGGATCGAGTAGATTTGAAGGACCTATTTTTTCTGTACAGCATCAGTAGTGATCACTGAATCTTTATTCAGTTGCTGTGTAATGACACAGTAATTAATGTTATTTTTGTCGTGAAGCAGCCAGTTTGAAGATAATCAGCTGTATTTCTTATTGTTACGTGTACATGAAGGGAAGATTTTGCTCATACAGTAAATAGCCTGCTTCTCATCATTGTGGCCACTATTCGTCTTGGTTGTAGTCCGTATTTCTTAGAGAAACAGTGACGCAATAGCATCATCAACTTAACAACGTTACAGTTTCTGATTATTGTAACCAATGGGAATGATGGTCAAATCAACAGACATAACAGAAAAGTAACCGTTATGATTGTTACATTGTATGAGCAGCCCATATTAAGACAAGCATAGTTGTTGTGATGTATGTGTTTCTGTTACAATATATACATGGGTTTAGATTATCACCATAGTTTATGAAAACTAGCTCTATTTTAATATTATCTGTCTCTGTAGCTCAATAAAGCATATTTGCTTTTTCACAGAAGAGTTTTTTCAGTGGCAGCTGCCTTATAAAGACTCTTCTTATATTATAAGCACAAGTCTGAGTGATTCATATGAGGAGTGGCTATTATGTTTTATCTTCCACTAAATAAAGTAACTGTGGCTTCAAAAACAATCATTGTTTTCATTTACTCCTTCCTATAAGAAGACAAAGTCAGTAACAAAAAATGTCTCGCCAAATGAGAACAGAGTTTCATATCGTGTCCTTTAAAGTGTGGTGTGTACTGGTCATTCTCAAATACAAATACAAGGTACATCTGTCACCGCTCAACTTGAATTCTTTGATGCCACCCAGAAATCTCACCCTCAAAGCCGCCCACAGAAAAAAAAGGACAGTTGCAGCAATTGGGCTATCTCAGCTGACTTTCATTAGAACAGTGGCGGGCCGTGCATTTTATACCTAGGCCTTCACTGTTGTCCTGCAGCTGAAATACCACCTTATAACCACATGATGGCGCCACAGTTATCAGTTTCTAAGGGTGTAACTATGTACGTATTAAATGTACGTAACGTTCGGTACGAGACTTACAATACGTTTGAATAGTACTAGAGCATCTGGAAAATGCAGAAGCTTATATTCAGGAAAATATAATGTTTTCTGCGCTCATGGAGGACAGTGGTTCTCAGCTGGTCTGGCTGTGGGACCCACCATCACTCCTTAATGACAAGTCGCGGCCCAAAGAGATCGTCTTATGATTTTACTTTCACAACTTGAACATTGTACGTACTGCTCTGCAATGTCTTTCCTCGTCTCAGCCCCCTGTGTCATGGTGTGTGGTACATCTCACTGAGTCAGAATGCCCATATTTGATTGGCTGAGCTGCATCACGTGATGTGATTCACTACCCGACTAAGCCTCTGCTGTTAAGTTTCGTTTCACGATAGTCACGTGCTCGCCCACTGACCAATCACAGCACACACTGCACCTCGAGGCAGAACTGCACGTGGACACTGAGCTGCACGTAATGCTGACGTCATTATAGGCCGGCTCGCAGGCGCTGACACGTCAAAGAATATGCCCAACATGTCAAACTAAAGATCTGATTGGTTGAAGAATATGACAATCAACAATATCGTCCCCATTTACTTAAACTGCAAATGGATGCACTTGAGAGTGTAGGCCTCGGGCCTCTCTTCTTACCTAGAGACACAGAGGTGAAATCTGATTGGATAAAAGCTCTACTTAAAACAAGCTGCACTGGAAGCAGAGCAACTGAGGAAGACAGTAGCTGTGCAATGAGAAAATAAGATAATGGGAAAAATATTTTTATAAATTATAATACATGTAGTGTATTTAAGAAAAATTATTAAATTATAAAATAGATATAGCTTTGTGATTCTGTTTAGGTCAGCAGAGAAGGCCTTGCAGGCCCTGACGGCCCACCACTGCATTAGAATGACCTTTGACCTGGTAGTGACACAAAGCCAGTGTCACGCCCAGCTATGGTTGGTTGTATTCTCACTCCTCTGCAGGTGTCTTGGGTCAAAGCCTCTGCTCCCACACCTGTCGGTCACACCTGCCTGCCATACCAGAGCGTTACATTGCTGTTGATGGCAACTAGTGTTGCTGGAATCTAGTGCAAAGGCCAGCTTTGTTTCCTCTTATGGCATTGTCTTGGATTCTTACTATTTGGCCCTGGAGTGGTCAAGCAAGCTGTAACTCCCAAGCTTGACTCCAGTCAGTACTGCAGTTAACATGCTAGCCATCCTGACATATTCACCGTGAGCATCATGTAGTGCACGTGGCATAAAGGAGGTTTTCTTCCCAGCTCTGAAACAGCAAGGGGTCGTAGAAATGCTTACATAATTATTGAAACATGTATGCCACACACTGAAATACACCTAGATGTTGTAGGCATTGTTGAAAGAAAAGTATTGCTCATCTTCAACTTTCATTTGAGAGTGTTTATATCCTTATGCATCCCTGTAAATGTTTAGCATTGTCAAAAAGGTATGAAAAGGCTGCAAGTCTTTGTATGAATGTGAACATCCTTAAAGGATTAAAACACCATTTTCTCTGTCAGCCTCTGAGTGTTGGTGATGGGTTCCTAAGTCTGAACACTGGTTATTTCACTATGATATGATATTTCTATTTTTTCTCTGTGCTCTTCACACTAGTTTGAAATGAGCGGGGATGCAAAAAATGTGATGTCACATTCTTCCAGACAGTTGGTGCTTTGTTTGTTCACTGTCAATAATCTAACCACACTCGCACAGTCATAATGAAGCAGTTTGACTGTTAAATTCTCTGTTATAATGGCAAAATATTTTTTTACTTTGTGTTGCTTTTTTAGCCATGGATATTTAATATTTTAATGGAATATTTTAGATTTGAAGCTACCCATTCCAAAGCTTTAAAGCTGAAAAACAGTTCTTTTTTATTACGTCATTATTTAATTTCAAATAAAGTACACAGCCAAAACAAATGAAATGGTATCACTGTCCAAATACACTTCAGATAGCTAGAGTGAAAGGCACTGTGTGTGTACCAACAAACCAGTTTCTTGTTCTCATTTTCCTTTTTTTAATGGAATTGCCCAAAATTTATATAATGTATGTTAGAACCTGAACGTCAGGTTCGGGGGTCTCGGGATCGCTTCTCTGCTGTTTGCAGATGACGTGGTCCTGTTAGCCTCCTCGGATCATGACCTCCAGGGAACCGGTGGATTGCTCCCTCCAGGTGGGGACGGAGTGCCTACCTCAAGCGGAGTTCAAGTATCTCGGGGTCTTGTTCACGAGTGAGGGTAAGATGGAGCGGGAGATCAACAGGTGGATCGGTGCGGCTGCATCAGTAAAGCAGGCGCTGCACCGGGCCGTCTTGGTGAAGAGGGAGCTGAGCCGGAAGGCAAAGCTCTGAATGTACCACTCGGTCTACGTTTCTACCCTCACCTATGGTCACGAACTCTGGGTCGTGACCAAAAGGACAAGGTCGCGGCTACAAGTGGCCGAAATGAGTTTCCTCCATAGGGTGGCCGGGCTCAGCCTTAGAGATAGGGTAAGGAGCTCGGTCATCAGGAGGGAGCTTGGAGTAGAGCCGCTACTCCTTCGCGTCGAAAGGAGTCAGCTGAGGTGGTTCGGGCATCTAATTAGGATGCCTCCTGGATGCCACCCACTGGAGGTTTTCCAGGCACGTCCAACTGGGAAGAGACCCCGGGGAAGACCCAGAACGCGCTCGAGAGATTACATCTTCCAGCTGGCCTGGGAACGCCTCGGGATCCCCCAGAATGAGCTGGAACATGTTGCCGGTGAGAGGGAAGTCTGGGTCAGCCTGCTTGGCCTGCTGCCACCGCGACCCGACCCCGGATAAGCGGAGGAAAATGGATGGATGGATGGATGGATGGATGTTAGAGATTGCCACTGGTCCATTTAGTGTGTGGTTTTCCCTCATTGTGTGCACCTTCCTGACTACTTGACAAATAAAACAATGATCTTGTGTCACCAAACGTCTGCAAACAGTCGCTTGAACCTCAATGTTTAAGCGAAGTATCTGTCCACGGTGAGGCATAGCAGCACATAATGTCTTTTTGTGACTGTTGAATGAAAAGTTGAGATGATGCAGAAGCAAATACACATAAATTCCCGGCTGTCAGGCAAAATTCATAACAATTAGTATCAAGAGAAAAGTTGAGACTGGTATTAAAGGAGTCATAGTTCTTCTCAAGTTCCCATTGGTCACTCCATGTTTATGTTCAGGACAGTGGAGGGTTGTTATATCCCTATCAACTTGTGAAGATGTTGCAAACAGCACACAAATTGAAAATTAGCAGGCAACATGTTTTGCAGGATATCTTTGTTCACTCATGACTTCAAAAAGGTGTTTTGAAGTAGAAGTCATAATCTTCTCAATGGAGTGCAGCCGTCATCGATGTTATTGATTAAACCTGTGCTTTTATATCTCGTCTTCTTGTGTAAGGTGTGTTGTCATTTTAGTTTTATTGTAGCTGGATCCGTTTTCAGCACCTTCACTGAAGCTTTGCGCAGAGTACTGGCTTCATGAATATTTAAAGATTTACTTCTTCTGTATTCTTTTCTGTAGGTCATCGTCAGGAAAGGTGAGCCCAGAGAGCATTCGTTCAAAGGCATCCCTGTCAGAATCATCTGAAGATAGTCATGACCAGCGTGGGAAACCACCCCAAAGTCCGGGGAAGAGGGAGGAGTTGTCTTTATACAAGAAGACCAAAAGAGCAATAACAAGCAAGAAATACGGCATCTCTAAGCATGAAGCTGAAGCAACAACACCAATTGAACTCATCTGCCGAGGCCCAGATGGACGCTTTGTCATAGATCCCACTGACCCAGAAATGTCTGTTAAGCCCCGACGAATTGAGGGCTTCCCCTTTGTGGAAGAATCAGACCTCTATCCTGAATTCCGTCAGTCAGACGAAGAGAATGACGATCCCAGGCCTCTGCCCCCAATTATGGCACCACTCCGGGCTCACCAGATTTCTCCGATCTCCAGTCAGGAATCCTACCTGCAACCTCCAGCCTACAGCCCTCGTTTCCAGAGGCCCTTCGAAGGTATGACCATCATGGAGAGCAGTCGGCTCCAGGCCACTGGGCAGATCCGAGGTTCTCTCCACCACAGAGCTTTCTATGGCTACCTAGGCCACCCTGGGGATCATGATCCCCCACCTCCTTTTTACATGCCTGATACTAGCCCTCTCAGCTCAGTCATGTCCTCCCCTCCATACCTTGCTGAAGGTCCTTTCAGTCACCCCATGATTCCTGAAGAAATGGGGGAGGGTGATTTCCCACAATATGCTGTCCCTGGTTTCCCACTTCCTCTGACACTCACCTCTTCCTCTCGTTCCCCGGAGATTTGGCAGGGACTGGATTTCACCTTTGCAAGTCTGGAGGGGCCCCAGTTTATTTTTCCGCCCCATCACCCTTTGCATCTCCGCCACGACTCACCCTATCCTCCTCCACCTCATGTTCTTCCCCTAAGTGCTTTCCAGCCCTCCTCCCTTCCAATGCCTACTTACCCAGCTGTCCTGCCACTGCAGGCCCCAAAGAGCCGCTCAAGCAAGTCTCCCAGCAAGGCCAGGCCTCGTGGCTCCCCAGCCAAGCATTTTGCTATGCAAGAGGCACATTTAGGGCAGCTAAGACACACAAGCCACGGTATGGGTGTGCCGGTTTTGCCTTACACCGATCCAATGGCCCATATTATCCCTAGCCAATTCAGTAGCTTGGACACACGATGGTTTGAAACCACCCCTCGTTTCAGTCCCAGACAGGCTCGTAGGATGGATTCTGGCATGCATCAGGTGGTTCTCCAGCCCTCCCGACTCTCACCCCTCACCCAAAGCCCCCTTAGTTCTCACGAGGGCTCCCCAGAGATTGTAGTACGTCCCAGGCCACGTCCCAGCATTGTCCAACCTCACATACCCCCAGAGATGTCTGAGATTACCCTCCTCCCTCCTTCCACAGCCAGCTTCTCAAGGAGATCTACCCCCTCCTCCTCACCTGCCCAAGGCCAGGGTAGCAGGAGAGCAAGTCCCAGCTACCGTTCCCACATGGCCTTTGCCACCTCTGCAACCAGCTACCCAGCTTCCCAGTCCCCGTCACCCCCCATGGAAAGCAGCAACCTATTTGGGCAGATGCCATCTCAGAGGAGGACTGAGGAGGGGATCCTTCCATCTGAGCCCTCTCCACCCCAGTTGTCAGCTTCAGGGTAGGTGCATTAGGCATGCAGAGAGGGATACCATTTGAGTCATCTGCCCCAACCCATAATGCTTTGATGTATGAAGTTGCTCTGACATTTTGGTTAGTGAAAGTGCTGTCTAATATCCATCAATCTTTAAATCATCTCTGTGGCAAATTAATTTAGTTTTTTTTTTTTAGATGCTTTTTTTCATTTGTTAACACTTTTATGTGAAAAATGAAAACCGTATGGTTGAAGGAAACCATTTAGTTGAGATGATTCATTTGATGAGCTCTGGAAGTTCAGTTTAGTTTCAGTTTGGTCAATGCTGCTTTTCATGTCAGACATCAAGTTAGAGGTATTCACCCATTCAATCTGTGAAGCATTGTCTTAAAATGATCACCTTGAAAAGCACATTGCATTTTCCAGTGAAACAAAAAAGTATAAACTGTGAAACAAATTATTTGTTGAATTGACAAGACAATGCATTTGCTTCACAGATTACATTTCAGACCTTTTGGGGCTACACTCCACCCGGAAGAAAAACGTAATTTGCTTGGCACAAGCCCCTAAAGGCCTGGGAATTTACAGACATCACCACAGGATCCCTGTTTCTCCATCTGTATCATGCGTTACCCTTTCACCTAACAGGAGGAATCCTATAATATTATCCAATTGATTCCCCAGACAAAGCAAAAACCCATTTTTATGTCTAGCTCCAAGCCTTTGAAGATGCCTTTATCATGCAGAGGGATGCTTAAAGAAGAGTTCATCTTGGCAGGCCCTGCGGCCCATCCTCGGCCTTAGTAACCTGACTGCATGACCAATTCTCCCTTACCCTCCAACCTCTCAGATTTTCTCCTACCCTACTTCTCCTTCCCTTTCTGTAACCCTCCTCTCCCCAACCCCTTTAATTGCCCCAAGGACACCCCCAGGTCTGACTACCAAGGAAAGGTTGTTGGGCAAAGTGTGTCACAGGGCCTGTCCGCTTCTCATGTACTGCAATGTCTCCATCATTATGAATTAGGGGCAGTATGGTGGTTCTTGATGGCTCCTGGAGTCTTACCTGCTTTGTTTTTGATTGATCTCAGCTATCTGGGCAGCGTTGTTGTGACCAGGTCCTCTACACCACAATAGGTAAGGGTTGGATCCATGTCTGAAAGGGGGGGGTTAGCAGGTGGGACTTTTTTTGATCACCTCGTCCTTTAAAGGGGAATACAAGACGCTGAGTCTTTGTTTGATTTGTTCCTTCCTTCAGTCAACACGTGTAGTTCATTTCAGTTCTTTCCTTTTTCTTAAAGTGGCTATGCATTTTAAGTTCTGCAGTCTTCAGTACATTATGCATTCTGTTATGCATATGCCATCAGTTAGCCAATAAATTAGATCGGTTGTATCACCAACATGATTTCATGCTTGAGTGGTTTGCTAACTGACCACGTTCACGGATAACTCTACCACAGGTCTACACATAAGTACAACAATAGTGCTCTTAACCGCCTCAAACCAATTTCAATATTTATTTTTCATTCTTATTTATTCATTGCTTACTTTGCTATTCTGAAAATTGATTCAGCAAATGTCACAAGGGAATATAATACATTTCATTATAGTATTTGGTGCAAAAGCCTAAAAACACATCTGTGCAAAGCCAAACTGGACTACATTCCAGTTGACTAGTTAAAAGCTTTTCGTTTCTGAGCCTTTAGTCTAGAGATAAAACCACACTGAAGTTGTCATGGGTTCATCAGCCTTGAGTTAAATGATTGTCAATGCAGACAGAAGCCTCTGAAAACGACAAAGTTTTGACTTATCGATTGATTTTCCCTAATTAGCCTCCGCCTCAGCACCCTGAGGCAGACCAATTCACTCAAGTAGTATACAATAATTGAGTAGTAAGATTGATGTTTACCTCAGTTCACATTGAATCCATGCAAAAGAAACAACTCTTCAGCAAACATGAAGTCATCAATATTCCAAAGTCATTGTAAGATATCCTCATAGAGGAGAACAACTCCTTCTGTTCCACTCCCATCCTGGCTCAAAACGCCAAATATAAGACCTGGGTTAAATGTCCCCATTTTTCACTATGCCAAAAAAAGAACAACGCATTGCTAACCGCTGATCTTGGGGCAATATCTTTTGCTACCAAATGCATGGTCAAAGCCCAGCAAACAGACAAAGGAATTGCACATGACAAGAATACAGTCAGTGCCTCCTTCCCTCTTCCTCCCTTTGGCCCAGTGGTAATCCATTTCCTCTATTTGGCCATCTTCCTCAGAAAGGCATCAATTGCTGCTCGATCCTGACCAATTTCTCATATGTTAATGAAGGATTACCACACTTCTTACCAGGATGTCTCTGGTGTTTACTATCAACTGTGAGAGACAGTGTGCACTACATACTGTAGGACGGACACCTTTGATGCTCAACATGCCATTCCTCCAACTGACTATTCTAACATCCAGCAAGATGTTAATCTGACATCCAGCTGCTCCAAGAAATCCTTGTCCTTCTTCCGAGTCTGAAGATGAGCCTCGTAGGGATTTGGAGGGCCAATCACATCTGTTCCTTGGCCCCTGGCCAGAGGCCAGCAAAGAATAGCCCCCAGGCCACACTGCCTGTGTGAACAGCGCGTGTGCGTTGGGTATTCTCTTGCTTTTTAATTTCCGTGCCCATGTTAACGGGTTCGAGCAGCCTCACTGCCTGCATGCGCCTGTCTTCTAGAGATTTTAGGTCTCGCATATTTGTTTTTGCGTGCTGTGCGCGCTTTACAGCGAAACTATAGTGACATTATCATCAAATTATTTTGACAGTGTATTGGCATCATATTGGCATTACTACAGTTTCAAAGTCTATATCTGTAGAACATGTCCCAGACACGAGAGAGAAAAATTGCACAGCCTTCGGGAGCACTTTGGCGTTCAGTATCTTGCCCAAGTACACTTTGACACAAGGAGTAGAGGAGCGGGGACGACCCTCTCCACCTATGAGCAACACCCCCCTCACCTGTCTGTGTGGACACCACATGTGTGAGAGAGGCAGCCATCATGCGCTGCTCACACAGGCAGCGTGGCTCGGTGTAATGCTAGTAAGAAAGGGCGCTATACCACTAATTACTTCCTTTATTGAAACAAATAAAATGGCTACTTACATATTCACAGAACTGGAGTTACATCCAGGTAATGTTGATTTCACATTATAAAAAGCAAATGTGCTGTTCTCAGCAGGTATCATCAACAATTGATGTTGGTGTCCTGTGTCTTTGTACTATATAGATTATTACAAGGTGTGGCATACTGTGTATTTATTTAAGGGTGGTCTACGTGGACGTCCACATTGATGTCCTTTATTGTTAAATGATCACGTTCGAAAACGCTCTTAGCATTCTCCTCAAGCGTGACACATTCTTCCATTTATATATTTCTACAGATGCTTGTATTGTATGTCACCAATTGACCCCAATCTCCAAAAAAATATTTTGTAAGATTGACGTTATGACGTCAACTTAAGCTGTGTCCACTGGGATCCATCCTTCACTGCTCCTTTTCTTTTGCATTAACAATGAAGCAGAAATGCTGTTGCATGTTCCTGGCAGTGATGATAGCTTAGCATGTGTACAGTTCTCATCGTACAAGTTACGAGAAGTGAAACAAATATCCCAGCTTTCGTCAGAAATGCACCAGATTCTTAGCAGGTTTTGAACAGCAACAGAGCAATATAGCAGGAGCCACGAGCAGCGCTTCCATCTCTATCTAGCCCCAGTAACTAAATGCAGATTCCTGGTGGACACATGGCCTTAGTCCCCTGTATAAAGCATCTGTATAGAGCAACAATCAAACCATCTACTGTAAGTATACAATTGCACTTTTAAGTTTGGACAGCAGAACAGTTCTCACTGCCATGTGAAGCAAAGAGTCCTGCCAAAACAGCTTATTCTTTTTATCCTAAAGAACAAATATTTTGCCAAGGGCTTGCAGACGTGGACACACACACGGGGGGGCTTGAGGACCCCCTTATGTGTGAGTGAACTTACCAAGTGCTTTTGAATGTATTCCCCTTTAAAGTCGTGTTCCATGTGCAAACTGCCATGCATGCCATCGCTAAATATTGCTCCTCCGTTTGAAAAAAAGAAGAAAAAAAGAAACAATTCTATGGATAAATTCTTGTTACATTTGTTGTCCTAGTGCTTCGCTTTTCTTTGGCTTATTTTTCATTATGTGACTGTTCCCGAGTAGTCATTTTCCCCTCCCGCCATCTCTCCCCCTGTCAGCATGGTGAAGCCCATTGTAGACAGTATCCATGTCTATGAATACATATTGATGATGCTTTGTTGCTCAGCTGTGATTCTCCCCCTCTACTAACGACCTTCGGTTTCTCTCTGCAGCCACGGTGGGAGGACGGCCTCTCTGTAATGCTAATTGTTTTCTGTGCCTTGGGAGAAGCGAGTGTGTGTTTGTGGCAGAGATCTGTGGGCTGCCGAGTCATATAAGTGCCTCCATGAATGAGGGGGAGGTCTGTGCAGTCATGATCAGCTGAGAAATATACACTGAACGCCGAGGAAACATTTGTTCTGTTATTTTCAGAGAGGATAGATTCATCTTTATTAAATAATGAAACAATCTGCAAACCTATTCAAACTCTTGCTTACATTTTGTTCAAAGAATTTCCCTCTGAAACCAACAGCGCAAGTGTTTTTTAATATGTTGTATCTTCTCAAAATGTTCTCACTGTTCGGATCTGCACCGTGAGGTCAACAGATGGTTTCAGGGCTCATGTAATACTTTGCTTTCCTTTAGATAAAGATTGTTTGGATCAATTTGAGCAAAATATCTTAGATGTCCCTGAAGGGCAGTGAAATTTCAAGGTGCATAATTCGATCTACCATCTGGATTTATTAACCTATATTGTGAAACACAATCATCTTTGAGCTGAACATAACTGTTAGTAAATCCAGATGACGTACAAGGTTTTGGCAATAGTAGAATTAATTGCACTGTTCTTCAAACCTTTATGGAGAAAACTTCTGTTAGTTCAGAGAACAGCTCTCTCTGTGTCTCATATTGATCCTTTGGCAATGTGCTGCACCTCTTTGCTTAGCACGAGCCGTGCTGTTCTGAGATCGTGTGGGTTTCTGGCTCCGTTGCACTCCGTAGTGCAGAAACACCGTCCACTGACTATGTTTGGCCCAGAGTTACCCGTTCTCCCCTCTCTCTGCTCTTCATCCAGAAAACGTCGAGGTGCGCCGAGTGCCCTGTCGGGGTCTGAGAGGATTGATGCACTGAGATACCAACGTATTAAAAAGGCCAAGAAGATGATGATGAACAACAATAACTCCAAGTCCAGAAAGAAAGCAGGTGTGAACCCTGTTCCTCTCACTTTTTACCGCAGTGATCATTTGTTATGTCATGATGACCACAGGTAAAGATCTTTGCTTTTTTTTGCTTTTAGAAGATGCATTTGTGTGTTTTTTTGTGACCTACGTAGGATTCTTTTATAATTTTTTATTTTGTGTGGGTCAGACAAATTAGAATCAAAACTCTTCCTTTGACTCAATTGGGGGGTCCGTACTGATTTGGCATGTGATATTGTAAAAACATTGTCATCATGAACCTCTCATCACTGGTTGACTCCAGGGAGATGAAGAAGAGTTTGGTTGTATGGTTAGTATGTCCAGCATCAAAAGTGAACTGCAGTCAATGAGCCTGTGAAGCCCAGCTGTGGACACGAGGCTCGACTCCACAGAGCCCTCAATCACCGCCCCTGCTGCTGCTCTTCTTTATTTAAAGTAAAGTAAATCGGATGAACAGTTCTTGAGATTTGCAGAGCCATCCAAACAAAAACACACAAGACAGGTTCTGTAGTTGCCGGGGTCTGACAAAGGGAACCCATAGATGGGTTTACACTGGAGATGTTCGTCGCTAGTCACTTTACTCATTTGTAGTCCTTCGTTTAGGTCTATGCAAAGATTTGTAGCCTCTGACTATGTAGTTTGTTCCCTTTTTTTCTAAGCTATGTGAACACATCGCTGTTCAAATACAATACAGTGTGTACAACAGTGGGTGCTTCTCAAAGTCAAGGATGCTTGGTCGGACGGGTCCTTCCACGTCGTGTCCTACAGAGGCGAGGCAAGACTCCTTCCTTGTATTGGGACAGCACATAATGGTGTGCGTCACTGAAAAGACTCTCTCTGCTACTAGGGGATGAAATCCCCCACTGGCGATTATACAGCTATTACACGACTTATTGTTTCGTGAGATCAACAACATTGTCATTACATTTGCTTCTCACCAATATACAGGATGTGTGTGACTGGCACGACTGGCTAGCGACCGCCGGCCGTTTGTAGAGCTCCTCAACTCCAAAAACATTGGAGCAAATTTTTTGAATTGGAAGTTAGCAAATGGATATTTGTTTGGACTCAGCCAGGATAGCAGGTGTCCCCCTGCATCCAAACATGGGAGATACAACACAGATACAACACTCAACTCTCTCGATCATCTGTTTGCAGCCTTATCTCATGTACTCTTTAGTTGCAATAGATATTGATGTAGAATACATGATCATTTCACACAACATGGTCAAATTAAGGCAGGAAACGACGACTCCGGTCATGTCAGTGGGATTAATGTGCAGAATTGCCTGTAAATATTGGCACCATGAGTTCCAGTGGCCATGACCCTGCCTGTCATCTCCCCCTCCTCCAGGTGTCACCACCTCTCAGACCCAGCAGGCCTACACCTCTCAGGTACTCCAGCCCGAAGAAGCTCTCTACCTCCACAAGAAGAAGAAGCGGCCCATCCTCCACGACCCATACACTCGCTTTTCCGCTCTACTGTACCGCCGCCCACCTCGGGAGGACCAGAAGGCTATTCTGGCCAGCATGGACAACATAGACCTGGACCACGCAACGCTCCTCTGAAAGCCCCTTGAGGACAAGGTCACAATCATGCAATATGCCCTCATTCCAAAAGTAACACTAGCAACATACCAGATGGTAAAAACAAACAAGATGTTTGCAATGCATTGTCTATAAACGGAGGGAGCATTACATTTCAGCATTCACATTTAGTACATTCAATAGCTACGGGCCTTGGTCTGTTCAATCCGCACTAGCAAGCGTTCTGCCATGTTCCATCTGTGATGACGGCAAATCAAGAACCCACAAAAAAAGAACAGATTAATGGTTGTTTCTGAAATGCTGCTCCCAGCTTACTGAGAGTAACACAGCAGACACAGCTCTGAAAGAAGTTCTGATCGTTTGTACTACTACTGATTGGGATGTCAAAATGCACAAAGATCTGTGTGCTAAAATCCAGTAGCATTCCCTTTAAAAAAGAAAATGTGTTTAGGCTAGACGATAACAACCTAAACGACAGCTGCCACCATTTTCCAAAGTTTTACTCCAGTGCAAAAAGCTGAATTCAAAAAGAGGCGTTTTTCAAACCAACCCAAACCAGTTTCCCCTCGCCAGTGTTACCGTTTTAATTTTAAAAGGCTTCTCCAGACTTAGACCCCCCCCCCCCCCCCCAAAATATATATATATATATCCCGGTCTCCGTTTACAGCACCTTCCACCGGATCCTCTCCGCCAGCATCGTCTCCTATCTGCCGAGAAACTCGCCTCACAAACGTGGACGTTCTCACTTCCTACCAAGTATACCTCAGAGCACAGGACACGAGACCACACAACCACAGGATCAGCCAGCAGAACAAACTAGCCTTTTACCATCTCTTTAGTCATCTTTGTGTTCCACTCGCTTCCCTTATACTGACATGTTCAACCTCTCACACACTTGTAATGAACCATTAATGCAGCGATTCAATTACTTTCAGTAACAGATTTAGTACAGGAACCAGATATAGCAGATGTATCTGGTTCCTATAGTGCTCTAAATAAAGTCACCTAATTGCTCCAATGAACTGCTCCGTCTTTCGCTCCTCATATATCATATAACGGTTTGCACTGGAGCAAAATCTTCTCCATGTTACTTCCATGTGTGTGTGTGCTTCTTTACATCTTCAGTTCTTCTACGTTAGATAGTATAGAGGGTTCAGAAAGAACTATAGTTATGCCAAAAACACTTCAATTAAAAAATAAAAATAAACAGCCATACATAGTGGAGGGTAAGATTGTGTGCCATAGTATATTATAGTATTGTCTTCATACATGGTAGAGGGCATAAAAAAAACAATGGCTTCGTTTGGTCTTAATCGAGCTTCTGGTTGGTTGCCTGCTTCACTTGTGTCTATTTTTTTATTTCTAGTTTCTTTTTTATTTCCATCTGTTTGTGCGTGCTTATTTAAGTACCCGCCTCTTTGTACTTTGTCTCTTTATGTGCTTGTCACTCGAAACGGAAATGCAGAGAGTGAAGTCACCTGTTAAGAACTTAGTTTGTGGCATTGAGGGTAACAAAGTGAGCCAAAAAGGTTTTTCGTTGTACACCACACTGGTATACGCAGTTTTGTTTACATGTTGCCCAGTTTTACTTTGAAAGATTCCAGCGATTGAGATGATTCAATTTATCTAACTGACGTGGAAACGTGGACGCTAAGGGGCTCATTTTATTGGATGAGTACAGGAAGTGCCATAACATCAGAAACCCAACTACATCACCCATTGTACACGCTGCAGCTCAGTCATATTTTAGATTCAACACAGAGCGGGTGTGTACTGTTTTTCAGTTTTGCTCAAAAGGTGCTCAAATTCTTCAGAAGTTGTGTCCATTTATAGACATTACGGTAACATATCGGGGGCTCCTGATACGGTGACCATGTTCTTCTGAAGTGTGTCTGGAGTGGCATTGCTCAAAGCTCATGTTCAATGAATTTCTATCCATCTCTTTACTTGTGCGACTTTTTATTTATTTTTTATTGTCATTTTGAGCAATTCTTACAACTCCAACATCTTTTATAATCAACTAAATTCTCAGTGACTGAAATCGGTTGCTTGATTAAGATGTTTCCACAATGAGTGCGTTTAAAATGAGCGGGGTCAAGGTTTAGAAAAAAACTGTGACCTCTCCTCTAATATTTGATATTTAAAGTGCAGGAGAAGTGAAGAAGAGATGTGATGGGATCTATTTACATAAATAGTCCTGACTCACAACCATATCCAGCCCACAGGAATCAAGTCAATGAAGTCATCAAGCACATGCATTGGGGTTGCTTTAGCAGTTTTAGTAAAGAAGCTAGTGCCTTTATGATGGCATTATGACGTCTGCAATTGTTGGAGCATCTGGTAGGTAACAGTAAAGAATGTGTCAATATGACGCACTTATTGTGGAAATAACTTTTATTCAATTCAATTGAATCATCTCATCTCATCACAGGGTGCTTGAGCGGTCGTGTCAAACACTTCTAGCGGTCTAAAGGTGCTAAGCAAGCCGTGTATGTGTAACGCCGTACCAATGAGTATATGTTTAAATGATTACAAATGCCACTTCTGAGAATGGGCGGTTAGAAGGCTTCAAAATCACACTGTGAGAGAAACGAGGCCCTCTTCCTCCATAAAACCCTTTATTTATGGCATAAGAACCGTGATATTACGGTCACTCTAATGCATAATGTTGTAACCAATATGTAACTGTACCTTGTTGCTTTTGAATATCATTGGTTTTATGCCATTTATAGAGCGATGTTTGGCAGATATGAGGAGAGTGCCATTGTTTCCTTTCAAAGGGACATGTTAGATCACTGAAGACCTTCTGATGTTTGTGTTGCTGTGGGTCCTCTTAGCTCAGTCCTGAATGAATGTTTGTTTTCGTTGACCTTGGACATTCTAGAGAGGACAGAGGACGTTACATGTAACACTGTGTATGAAGAGACAAGCTAACACATGGCAATCAATTAACAATGAATCCCCCAATAATTACTATAATGACTTTATTTACATTAGCAAGATATTGGTGACTTTCCCCAATACTAGCAGAGCATTGCTGGAACATAATCTCAAAGCCCTTTCTCTTTTCTACCAATGATGGAAGGTTTTTAGAATGGAATCAATATTAGACAGGTGCTGACAAGTCCTCAACTTCCTTTAAAAGAGTTTAAATCAAGAATGTATAACAAAAGTAACTGTATTAACAATAAGACCAGCTTCTATTGTACATACTGTACTGAACCAACATATTGTCCCAATCTACATACCAATATTGTTTTTTGTTGAGGAATTAACTTGACAAGGAATTGCATATATTGTATCTGCAAAATCCTAACCGGTGCACTCTGGCAACATAACACTGAAGGGACTGTTCCGTGTTGTAATCAGCCCACATTTAAAAGAAGAAAGACCAAAATATATATAAGATTAATTATTGAAATGTGTAGATATAATTAGTCTATATATCGTAAAATGTAAAGAAAAAACAAGAAACTGAATATTTTGTTAAAATTGGGCAATGATATGCATGCCGTTACAGATATCAATCTGAAATATATACCCATTCATTTATTTGAATTTGAATTAGTTGCATGTAGATGCTGCTGTGAGTTGGACAGTGTCCCTCTGAGCACAGATAAACAGCCTCTACATCCCCTCCAATGCAAAGCCATCAACTAACCAACTAAAGCACTGACATGTGCGCCGCTCTGTGCATAGTGAAGGGTCAGAGCTTTGATTTGATTTTATATTTTTCTGGTTGAAAGTCAAGAGCATGAACACCTTGAGTACGCCAACAAAGCCCAAACATTTTTTTCGTCACAACCGCGCTCTTCAAACCTGGGGTTGATGGGAAACGGTCCCTTTGTCTGCAGGTGCTACCAAAGGCTTCAGTGAGACCTGTCAGCGAGGACGGTGTGAGCTGGATGGACGAGACATCTTAAAGGCTGAGGGCGTAGAAGTACTGTATACCTCTTAATGTGCCACTGAGAAACGTGTACATAGTGTAGAGTGAAAGATGTTCTTTGCATGGTATGACACATTTGAATGCTACTGATTGGTCCCGAATATTGAAGCATAACCCCAATGAAACAGCTTTGCTTACCTGAAAGTTTAAAGGTAAGCTGTGAGGCTTTTAAAGTGACTACAAAACGATAGAATAATGGGAAACAATTCATAAAACCAGCTGCTGTAGCGGCACTGCTTCATGTTTGACCCTTAAGAGGAGACACTACAGGAGGACACGTCTGACTCTAGTTATCAACATGAAACTTCCCCAGTTTATTACCAACATTAAGACAATTAGTTTTTGTATTACATGTTTTCTGAAATATTAAGTTTAAATATGCTAAAGAGGCATTATCTTATATATTTACCAAATGTGTGGTAATTTGCATACACTTCCATAACAGAAATATGAACACTGGATAAAGCCAGGATTTTAAATTCTTCTTTCATTTTGTTGACATATATATATATATATATATATTTATTTATTTTTTGATATCTCTTTGTATCACTCCATGAATCAGAAAGTACTGTCAACAGCACCCAAAAAATAACAATTTCCACCACATTTTCAGTAATAAAATGTTCAATAAATCAGGCTATGAATGATATATGTAAAGGTAAAAACCTTGAGAATAGGAACAGGAATGAACCTGGAAGTTTGGTGTATAAGTGCTACTGAACATATTCTGGCTCATTAGAATATGTCCTTTAGTTACATTTTACAGGTTACAAAAGAAAATCCCCAGTTGAGCATTTACATAGAGACAATTGATGTAGTTTTCTCAACTGTTATGATAAAATATACAAATGAGGCGTTATCTAATGGTCACTTTTGGTAAATGCAAATCGACAAAGTAGTAAAATAAACATTTAAATATGTATTTTGGACGTTTTCTTTCCACTAGTGTGAAAAAGGCATGTTATGGAAGCAAAACAGACCAACTCTAAATTAACCAGCGCATGTAAAACTATATTTTTTACCTGTAGTGTCTCCCCTGCAGCAAAAGCCTCAACACGCAAGAAAAGAACATACAGTCAGATACATTCAGTGGATTTGAAGCTGCAACACCCAGAAAAGAGTGAAGATGACTTGGTGATTAGGACGTGTAGAGTTGCTCTTTTACTACTTCTGTGATGTCTTATCAATTAAATTGATATTTTTGTAGTACGTGTTAGGTGAGCGTTATGTCACAAACCGTGAGTCTGGAGTAAAAAGAAACCAAGTCCAGTCTAGTTGACTTTTGTTAAGTCCAGTACATAGATGTACACTCCGTTGTGTAATGTAGGTCAGAATGATGACGGACTGTATACCATGATGAGGGTCACTCTTAGTCACACATCTGTACTGTAGCTTTGTCATATAAGCTCTTCCAGCAAAGCGGAGATAACAGCGACTCTGAAATAGCTTACAAACAGTTATTTGTGTGGTGACTTTTGTTTATCACTCATTAAAAAAAAAGAGTTTATTAAGAATATCTCAGTACTGTATCACTCCTGACTCCTGAGCTGAGGAGAAGGTCTGCCCGTGCTTCACATACTTTAAGGTGCATTCGGAGAGAGACTTATCGGAGCGTGAACA